TTAACTTCCCTGGGTCTCAGACCAGAGTAGGGTGTAATCATCTGACCCTTCTAATCACATGGACTCGGATCGCCTTATTCTCTACGTTTCAACATGATCTGAGTGTGTCATATGTCTTTTCTGTCGAGTCTGCTCAATGCTTACGGAACTAGTCATGGTGCCTTTTGGTTCATAGATAGCTTTGGTCCAATAAACGATAATTTATGTTTCCAAAAATGTGGAAGCTATGAGAGAAGGTGTATCGAAAACCTTTTTCTGGATCGTTTGTATTCATGTGTTCTCGCTCCTTAGCTCAGATTTCATTTCTTGCTTTATCCAATTATTGGATATATCGTATAGGGTGTTGTAATAAGCGAACAGAGATATGCCAGAAGACGAAGAATTTTAAATGCCTCCAGTAATTAGGCGTCTAATTAACCTTTAAGGTAAAATAAGTTGGTTTCTGTTTTTGCATTTTAATAATAATGACCTTTTGTTCATTATTAGTCACTGTGCTAGAAACTGTTTTTGAAATTCATATTTCATTACTATATAGAAGACACATTTGTAGTACAAGTTGCAGCGATACAGAAATAAAATGTGAACATCTCCTCCCTTCCAAATGGCCTGTTCTCCAGCAGGAAAGAACGGAAGCATCTTCTCATGTCTTCTAGAAGTCGTTGGTCTGTCCTGACCATAAATGTCTATCTCTTCCGCATTTTTAACAAAATGGATTCATACCAGCTAGGTTTTAATTTACACATGAAGATGCTCTTTGGACTTTTTTCCATAGCAAGAATCCTGATCTCACTTATTTTTTTTATTGTACAGAATACCCTGTGTATGGATATGACGGAGTTTAATTCTCCTCTTGAGAATCTAGAATGCTCCCAGTTTTCCCTGCTACAAACGGTGATGCAGTCAACGCCTCTGTCCATACGTTTATCTTTACACAGTTTTTTAGTTTATCTAGAAGATAAGTTCCTCGTAGAGCTCTTGGTCAAAGAATAAGGGTATTCGAAATGTCGATTAATAGTGCCATGGCCCTGTCTTAGAAGGTCGAAGCAGTTTGTATATCCAACAAATTCAATTCTGCGAGCAACCGAGACATAGAGACCCTAACAGGTTCTCAGAGTTCGTAACTAGCAGAGTCACCTTTCACACTCACACCCACCCAGGCCGTTTCTTTCAAGGTGCAGATGTCTCGGCTGCCATTGTAAAACATAATTTTAGCTTTCAAACTGGAAAGCACCATTCCATACTTTCATATATTTCTTGTCACTCAATGAAGCAATAATGATGATTCTTCCATTCTGAATATACAGCCCTTTATGGTTTTCAGAACATTTTTGCGTTCTCACAATAATCCTATGAGATGAACGTTGATTACGACCCCGATTTATACATATGAAGAACTGAGGCTCAAAGGAAAAAAAAAACTTTAAATTTTAAAATGTCATCGAAAGATGGCCCTAGACCGAAGGCCTCGTGGCTCCCACAGTGCTCAGTCACTCAGGACGTAAAAATGCCAGTAGAAACGGTGAAATGGGCAGAATGAGATGAGTAGCTTGACCGAATTGGTATCGGCATGCTATGTTCACGGACAACAGGACACACACTAAAGCATCTGGCCGTGGGCCCATCACACCTCAAGGCGTCGCCCCCAGAATGGCCTTCTCCGGCAGCCCCGGGGGAACACGGGGGCCTTAACATAGCTGTCTTTCAAAGCTGTTCGTTCTGTGTGATCCCAAACTGAATTTACACTTCCGCCATAAACACAGTGATCACTGCATTTAAAATCACATAGCATTACAGTTATTACAGTGGTTCTTTGTCATGGTGACTCTCCCTCTCTCTCATCTCCTTTCCTGTTCTATTCTAGGCTCAGAGCAAACTTTTTTTCTCATTTGTCTCAGTTACGAAGAAATGACATCTTTCTATATATGGCCTTGGGTCAACTCTTGACTTCAGATTGAAACTTTGCTGTTCTGGTCACCTGAATTCCTGCGCGAATACATCCACTGAACTTAATAGCCGTTTCTTAGAACGAATTTTTTTTGGGGGGGGAGTTTTGCTTTTTATTATTTTTTATTTATAATTTATAACTTCTAAAGTCAATTCGATGATTCTCATTTTATCATTAAAGAAACTGAATCATGGAAAGCTCATATGACTGACTTTAAATACCAGCCAAAGTCAGAGTTCAAATTATTCTTTACTATCCACTAGTTCCTACTTCACTGCAAGAAGTCTCCAAGTTACGAAACGGGGTGTGTTCCAGAAATTCATCTGAAAGTCAGTTATTTGGCACTTGAACCGCATTTTACCAGAGTGGAGGGAAACCGTTATAAATGGTGATTAGGTCCCTTGGCTGGCCTGTGAAAATCTTTTTAACTCTTATGTAACTACAAAATGATGCATCTGCAATAAAAATAAGAGGAAAAGCAGATTCAATTAGAAGGTAGAGAAATGGACGAACTCGACAGGAGAGTAGAGGAGCCTTCTCCCCACCTCGTAGGGCTCGATGGCACTCTGTGTCAAGCCCAGTTTCGCTTAAACACTGTGAGGATGTTTGTTGTTAGAGACTTCTCTCTAGCGTGGCTCACCGGACAGCTGGGATGAGTCAGTAGGATCGATTGAATTAAATACTCAACAAAGAAATAGACGCTCTGAGATGTTAACCAACCTGGGATGGTAGAACCAAACCAACGAACCAGAGAACAGTTTCCTTCCCCCCGTCCTCCTGGCGGAAAAGGTCCAAGGCAGTCACTGAGTTTCCATTCTTCCCAGCAGACCCCGGCAGCTGGGCCGGCTGGGCTGAGGTCTGGGGAGAAGGCTCGGAGCCTGCGTCATGGGTGGAGGTGAGGGAGAGCATACGCCTTCGTGATTTCAGTGGAGAATTTGTTCTGTTCAGTGGGACTTTCTCATTCTGGGAAATAACTACGTTGATCTCAACTAGCGTTTGCTTCTTACATAATCTAGACCGTCTTTCATTTAAGCTTACAAGTAAACATCTTGAATTTGTGTTAACTTTGAAAAAAGTCTAACGCCTCTTTAGATGGCCTGTAATTTATGTGTTTTATTGTTTTCAGAGCATTCGCGAGCAGCTTTTTCTTTTGTAAACAACAGAGAGAGGATATATTCTGCTGTAAACGGAGGCTTGAGTGAGCAGACCTTCTTGCTGAGATGGCATTTTAAGAAAATAATGGAAGAAAGATTAGAATTTGTACCTTTTGGGTCAGATTTTAGGCTTTTACCAGTTACCTGTGCCTTCTCACTAGCTGGATGATGCATTTAACTGCCATGGTATTTGAATGTTTTTTAAAACACATAAAACTGTGTCGTGTAGTATATATTTATACCCAAGAGTAATTCAATGAGAGAGGAACGAGCAAGTGTATATATCACAATTCAGAATCCATCACAATAGTCATCGGAAAAGGAAGTTGGGCTTGGCAGACTGCTTTCAAAAGTGATGCCAAGACTGACGAGAGAAGTAACATCTCCTTGATTTTATATATTTTTCGATATTTATAAATGTTTTCTCTTTTCACTAAAACAATTTATAATGAAGTCCTTTAATGCCCTCATTAATTCTTCCATTTCTTATAGCTTTGATGTTTATATAACTGAACGTGGCGTGCGTGCGTGGGTGCGTTTGAGGAGTTTTATCTGGAAGACAAAATAAATTAGTAACGCTAAGTTTGTATCCTAGCACAGCGAACATCTTCTGGGAATCAGTCCTGAGCTGGAAGCTTTGTGCGTTGTTCGGGCAGGCTCTGCTCAGCACTGCCCCGGGACATGGTCATGGGACTCTTCCCCTTGATGGTCGAGATTTGTCAGGTTAGACTACCAGGTACCCAGACCGAGAAGAGAGGATTTCTTTCCAGGACCTGTGTGTCTGCAGGAGGTGGGGAGAGACTGGAGAAAGATTTCTCCAGAAGCTGTCTTATGCATCTAGAAAAATGGCAAGCCAGAAGGGTTAGCGAGCCAGACTGTGGTTTGCTTTTTTTCTTGTTGGCTTTCCTGTGAGGTTAAATAGACCGATAATAGCGTTCGAGGACCCATTTTTTTAACTGCAGATTTTCAGATTTATGTGTATGTCAGTCGGAGGATGGTACATGGGCGAGGGAGAATGTTTCTTTTGCTTTTGTTTGTTGAGTGGTCAGAAACATGCTACTGATAATTTCAGCATTATTTTTGTTTTAATTAAAGGCTTTCAACTCTTTGGTAGAAGGAACAAAATTAACAACAGAAATCTCATTTGAAGCAAATCCCATCCTTTGTATGTATTAGTTTTCTCATACCTGTCGTATATAACATAAAACAATAAGTTCATGGCAACTTATGTCACAGGTTTGTTCATTATTTTTTTAGCATTATATTCATTGGTTTGGGGGATAAAACTTTGTCGTCTGATATCTTGGCAGCCACAATTCTTAGTCGACTGGTTTTTAATTTTTTTTTGTTTGTTCTCATTCCGAGACCTGAGTGACTTAGAGGAAAAATCATATTTTCTTGACATTTTTCTAAGACGTAAGACATCCTTAAGATGATTCACGTTATTTTAACCCACACAGCTTACTGCCGTCAGAGAGGCCCTTCATTGGGCTCATTATGCCTCTGTCGGCACGCCCCAAACATGAAAGTGTGGAAAAGTTGAAGGATGGCATTGGGGTCCTATTTCACTTCTTCCCCCTCCCTACTGGCACCCTAAAATGTTCTGATTCTTAACAGATACTTGCTCATCTAGGGCGGGGGCGGGGCGGGGTGGAGCAGGAAGGCTCAGGAAGTCGAGGGGAGGCTTCGGGAAGGCCAGGTGAGGGCTCGTGAAGTGTCTGGGAGGAAGGACGAGGGGTGCCCAGGTGTTGGCTGGTTCCGCTGCAGGTGCTTTCGGGTTCTCACAGCTCCTGGAAGACCCCTTGTTTGCAAAGAGCTGTTTTCAAGTATCTTTCCCGTCTTTTCCACGTATTTATCTGCCCGCCTATGACCGGATGATTTTATTTCATTTTCCTTCTTAGGGTCGAGAAGTTGGAGCATGGCTATGAGCGATGGGAACAATGACTTTGCGGTTCTGAGCAGCGGCAGCGTCGCAGCCAGCGCTCCCAGCGCCAGTCCCCCGGCCCCCCGTGACGGAGACCTTGCAGCCCAGCAGCTCACACCCAAAGATGCACCAAAGACGAAAGCGAGTCCAAATGGATGCCTGCAAGCGAACGGCACGGTCACGCCATCCTTCCCGCCTTCGGACAACCAAAGAACGCCTCAGACGTTAGCCCAGCGCTGCGCCCCCTGCGCGTACCCCCGTCCTGTGACGAGCCAGCACGGTCACCCAGAGCGCCACCCCGAGGCCGGCTCCGCCCCGGCCTCTGCTCTGGCCTCGTGTGGCATGCACGCGGAGTACTCCGGGTCCTTGTGCCCGCACCACGCCCCTGTCTATCAGACCGCGTGCTGCCTGCAGCCGTCCGCCGCCTTCTGCCTGCACCAGCCATGGCCCGGCCACTTCCCGCACCAGCCCGTGCAGCAGCACGTGGCCAGCCTAAGGTGAGTGGCCGCGCGCAGGAGGCCGCCCGTGGTGGTTTCTCCAAAAGGCGGGGAAAGCGTCCGAGAAAGTAAACCCGTGAGAATGCAGATTTGGTGGACCGTGTGAAGTCTGCTAACGTGCACGTGAAATAATATGACATCTGTTTTATCTATTGTCGCCTTAGTCACTGAAACGCTCCGTGCTTTCTCCCCGTCTGCTAGGCCTCCTGGCTGGGTCTTGAGTCATAATGTTCAGTAGGAGGTTTTATGGTTAGCGATTTCTGTTATTAAGCATTGGGGTGGTATTTGTGATGAGGCTGCATTTCAAAGTCTTTTTTCTTTCTTTCTTTCTATTTTTGATCGGGATCATCATAGGAGTTTAAAAAATGTCTTTTTTTGTAAAGCGTTTTCAGATCTGGTAGATTGAAAAAGTGGGAAAGCGGTGTCTTCTTCATGCTCCCTTATGTCTGCTCGCCATTTCCGTTCACGTGGTTTGGGTGGCTGTGTGCTATGTCGGGATCAGATGAAAGCGAGAATTCCTTTCGTAGCAGATGAACCCTATCAATCTGAAGCACAGGAGTTTAAAAAATGTCTTTTTTTTGTAAAGCGTTTTCAGATCTGGTAGATTGAAAAGTCCTAGAAAAATCTCTCATTTCCAGTTCGTCCTCACCTCTCAGCCCACGGTTTCTCTGATTGTGCCTGTCAGCTGTGTTTTCCGTGAGGGAGCCAAGTCACACGGACTGCACGTGAGCCCTGGTGACACATTTTATAAAATCCTAGTACTCCGTAGGGGCCAAGGATTAGTTCACGTTTTAATTAATAAAAAAGTTTTAAAAGACCTAGAAGAAAGCTTCCTCTTTTTAAAGGGAGAGTATCATTCACGTACAGGGAGATGCGTGTGTCTTAAGTCGACAGTTCGATCAGCTTCAGCGAACGCTCCCACTAGGGTAACCCACACCTCGGTCCGGGGCGGTGGGCACTTCCGTCACCCCAGGAAGTCCCCTCGTGTTGCTGCTTAGCGTTCCTTTTCACGTCACCGGAAGCGGCCCCTGTCACCATAGGTCTGTTTCACCTGCTCTAAATCCTCGTGTGGATGGAATCTGGACTGGTCTGTGTCTGGCAGTTTTGACTCAGCATAACGTTTTCGAGAATCAGCTAATTGTTATGGGTATTCGTTTCCCAGTTTATTGCTGAGTAGCAACCCATTGTATGCATGTAGCAAGTTTACTTATAAGTACAAACTTCCTGTCATGAAGTTAGTAAGTCCTAGGGATGTAACCTACAACACGTGGTGACTGTAGTTAATTACCACACTGTATATTTGAAAGTTGCCGAAAGACTAGCTCTTAGAGTATTCATCACAAGGCAAAAAGTTTTGGTAACTGTGTGAGGTAGTAGAATTTAACTAGACTGACTCGGATGATCATTTCGCAATACGTACAAATATCGTGTTGTACGCCTGAAACTAGTATAATATTATATGTCAATAATATCTCGAAAAAAGAGTCAGATCCACACACGGAGTAATTAAATACTTTTCCCCTTGATCAGATCTTAGATTGTGAGATGGTCTCGTTTCACTCTTAACAAGGAGAGGAAGAGGAGGATGGGGAGGGGGGCGGAGAGGAGGGTCCTCTGTGGTACGTTTGTTCGTGTCAGGTGTATGAACGAGTCTTTCAGTTATAGATGAGCACGCGCACCGAGGCCGTTTCTTAGGTTTGTCTTGACAGTGCGGTGTGGCCTGACCAGTTTCAGACTCCCCTTGGACTTACCCGTGTAAGTAGTTGGTTTCGAAATTATGTAGTCGTAAAGATTGATGCATTTGAATCGTAAATTATAGGGTGGCGGAGGGCGAATCGAGACAGGTACTGGGACATTGCAAAGCTGATCTCATCTTTAAAAAACGTTACAAAATATTAAAACTATGGGCAAGTCACCAGTTCTTTCCATACGGCAGGCATGTCAACATTTTCATGCCTTTGGCTTCATTTTAAAGGAATGAGAGTCCTGTGTACATACAGCTTTAAACAGAGTGGATTTGAAAAACAAACTGATAAAAACGCCATATTTGTTCATCGAGACGGTTTGTAAAAGAAGCTGGACTATTATGTGAGAAATTTTTCATATTTAGAATTTTATTTCAGGAATTTGAGCCTTTTGAGCAACTATTTGAAACAGACATAGACTCTTTCAAAGATGCCTACGCGGGAATGCTTTTTTTTCCAGTTGAATATATTACCCATTTTGTGAAGTGTATGCTTCCAGAATTCTTTCTTTATTTTCCACATTTATTTATTTTTATAATCCACAGTATTTGGTGAATACTTACATGTGCCAGGCACCTAAGATGTAATTCTAAACAAGCTGAGACGTATTTTTGCCTTCAGAGATCTATAACCCAGTGGGAAGGGGAACGAAAAAGCAAACAGGCACCTCTGTCGTTGTGACGAGAGCCACCGAGCGGGACAGGAACGGAGATGAACAGAAGACACGGGGGCCGAGGGGATCGTCTCGTAGGTAGCGGGGACGTTTGTGCAAAGACTCATAACGTTCTGTGGGCTCCAGCGTCGTCCAGTACGGCGAGGCCCTGCGGGAGGGCGGGGAGTCACCAGAGCAGAGGGGCGAGGGGACCAGACCCCGAGGCGCCGTGTCAGTCACGCGCAGGACGTCTCTAGACCTCCTCCTGAGGCCAGCGGGGAGACGTGATGGGTTCGTGTGTGTGCACGCGTCGGTGGCATCAAGCGCGTCACTTTGCCGTGCAGTCGTCACCACCATCCGTCGCCAGACGTGTTCCACCTTCCCCAGCTGAAACGCATGCCCACTAAACGATGACCCCCATCCCTCCCCGCCCCCGCCATTCTGTTCTCTGTCGCCGTGAACTTGACCTCGGGCCCCTCGCATCATCGGAATCACACAGTGTTTGTCCTTAGGCGGATGGCTGATGTCACTTACCATAACGTCTTTGAGGTTCGTCCACGAGGTAGAGGACGTCAGAACCTCCTCCCTTTTCAAAGCTGAATAAATGCTCACTGCACGCGTGTACCGCATTGTGTACCACGCGGCGTTTATCCGTCCATCGGTGGACGCTTTGCCTCCTCCACCTTTGGGGAATCGTGAGCGCTGCTGCAGTGAACGTGGGTGTACAGGTGCTCGTTTGAGTTCCTGCTGTCACTTCCTTGGGGTACATCCAGAAGTGCAGCTCCTAGGTCATATGGTGATTCTACACTGAACTTTTTGGGGGAGCCACCAAACTGTCTCCACGGATGCTGGACTGTGTTCCCTTCCCACCAGCCGTGCACACGCTGGGGTGTGTGTGTGTGTGTGCGCGTGCGCGTGCGTGTGTGTGCGTGTGTGTGTGTGTGTGTGTGTGACAGTATCCATCTTAATGGGTGCGACACGACAGATTTGAAGCATAACAGAAAACGCATCACATTCGCCCCTGAGCGAGGCCCGCCGTCGGGCTGGGTCGCGGCTGTCGGAGGGAGGGAGACGGTTGGAAGGCCTGTCGCAGTCACTCAGGGGAGAAACGGTGGTCGCTCGAACCAGAGTCTAGAAGCGAATTCCCGTTGGAGTGGAGACCCTGCGCCGGGGGGCGGGGAGGGACAGGCACAGTAAAGAGCGAGGGCGCGGGGTAGTGTGTGCCAGTTACACCACGGATAACGATGCTGATGGAGCGGATCGTGGAGTGAACCCCGAGGCGTCTAGACTCAGCCCAGCGTGTAGTTCCAGAACGGTGCTGTGAGCCAGGCGCTGCGTCTTTCTCAAACCGGGAAGGTTCCCGCAGAAGCAGATGCGGACACGGAGGTACCTGCCAGGCGAGGGAGAGCAGGGCGGTGCGGGGGAGTCTGTCCTCGCCAAGAAATTCCGAGACCAAGGATGCCCGTTGCTGCCTTCCATTAGTTATCAGTTATTAGTTACCCAACACTTTTAGGGACGTTGTAAGAACAAACGTTCAGAGGCTGATCTGCACCAGGAACTTTCTCTAAACCTGTTTCGCTTCCTTTTGTGATTTATCCCATGTTGCTTTTTTAACTGATAAGCTCGATACTTAATGAAGTATTATTCGGTTAACGTTTTAGATGCGTTCATGACTTGGTAAAGATTTCTGGTGTTCACGTGGCTTTCGGGGTTTCTCAGAGGTTGGCGGCCTTAGAGTTAAATCGTGTGCAGATGGCAGATCCTAAGTGCTTTCGATTCGTATTGCTCTTTGCGTAAATGCCACAAGTGGACCCTCTGGGTTTTATTTTTTTCGTTTTTGTTTGTTCGTAGAGCACTTACACCCTAGAGAATGTTTTAAAGAGTCAAACAAAACATGTGATTTTGCCGCTTTGAGTAGTTCATTTTCCCTGTCTTTGGTGACACAGCAAGTTCTTTCATCCTTCTTGACTCTTGAAGCTGTCATAAACCTTTCTAAAAGATTCATTCTATCAGTCACCTACGTGTGCTTTTCTGCTTTTTAAAATTCTCTCTTACTCTTCTGATTGATAAAATTAAGATGACTGCAAGGATCACATTTAATATATCCTGTTTTAATTCCATTTGTCACCAAATAGTAAGTGGTTTAAGCAGATGTCGTTTTAAAGCTGCTGACATTTTCGTTTGCACATTTCTGACCTCGCAGCCGTTCATTCACATGACTAATTAATTGACATGACTCATTAGAATAGTAAGGAACTCAAAAAGGCAAAAAGTCATCTCTCTCTACCGTGAGACAAGGCCTAGAGCCACAAGTCCCAAACCCGATCGTCACATTCAGCCGAGGAGTTAAAGAGTAAAGTAAGTATAAAACTAATAAAGAGATGTTTCTTTTTGCCGTAGAAACGATAAAGAACTCTAGGAGTCGGAGGCGGGAGGGACCCCAGTGGGGGACAGAGGTTCGGGACGGTCTGACCGGGAGGCGAGAGCCCGTGACTCTTGAGGCGGAACACGGAAGGTCGGGGAGAGTCGGACGGGAAAAGCGCGCAGACCCGAAGGGATGTTTAAGGAAGGGGAACAGGGACAGGAAGGGGTCGTTTCGATGG